CTAAGCACTGGTGGCTCACGCCTGTGATCCATCTACACAGGAGGCTGAGATCCAAGGATTGAGATTCAGAGCATCCTGTGCAGAAAGTCCATGAGACTCTGATTCCCAATGAACCACCAGAAAACTGGAGGTGGCGCTGTGGCTCACGTGGTGGAGCACCAGCCTTGAGAAAAAGAAGCTCAGGGACATCGCCCAGGCCCTGAGTTCAAGATCCAGGAGTGAAAAGCTCTCTTCTCCTTTCTAGAAGAAGGGAAATCATGTGTTGTGTCTTTCTCGTTGGATCTTGCTCACCTGGTTCACTGACAGTTACTGACTCCACAAAATATAGTTCAGTGAGAAATAAGGACAAATTATGAGATCTATGGCTTACAAAATGACCTGTTCTGACTTCAGTACATTGCTTTGCTTTCCTGTACTTAGTTTCATTTTTTCCTTCTCGCTTTCCTTCTTTCCACTTTCCCTTCTTCTCTCCCTTCCTCCTTCCCTCCCTGTTTACTCCCTCCCTCCTTCCCTTCCTTCTTTCCTTCCTTGCTTCCTTCCTTCTTTCCTATTTTGAAAACAATGTTTGAAAACAATAATTTGAAATGCAGACATATGTTCACAAATAATTATATTTGTGCCAGTCCTGGGGCCTGAATTCAGGGTTGGGCACTGTCCTGAGCTTTTTCCCTCCATGATCACACTCCGCAGCTTGAGCCACAGCTCCACTTCTGGCTTGTTGCTGGTTTTTGGTGGTTCCCAGAGAAAAGAGTCTCATGGATGTTCCCACCCTGGCTAGCTGTGAATAGTGATCTAAAACTCCAGAAGAGCTACAATTACAGGTGTGAGTCACTGGTACCAGCCAGAGAAAACTTTGTGCACAGAGCATCTTTGTTTCTTAGGAGTTTGTAAAGTCCTGGCAATTATTTGGCTATTGGCTTGGAGCATTTCCTAGACATTATCAAACAAATTCTATGACAGTGGATAAGAGTGTTGCTTCTTCTATTTGGTAAGTTTCTATTTTTTTCTTATTGTTTTAAGACCATTTTTAAGCTATGTTTTCCTCAGGACAATTGTAGACTGGTGACATACCCTTAAACAAACCTGCTGTGTCAGGCCTCTGTAATAGTGTTAATCATGCATAAAATGTTCCCATAGCCAGAGGCTGGTGGTCACACCTGTAATCCCAGCTACTTAGGAAGCTGAGATCTGAGGATTTCGATTCAAAGCCAGCTCTGTCGTAAAAGTCCATGAGACATTTATCTCAATTAACTACCACAAAAATGCTACAAGTGGAGCCGAGGCTCAAGTGGTAGAGCACTAGCCTTCAGCAAAAGTCCTGCTCTAGTGTCCAGGCCCCAACTTCAACACCCAGTACCAAATACACACATAGCAATCACAGACGCCCTGATTTTGTCTTCATCATGCTGACTTTCTTTTCTTTCTCTGGCTTTCTTGGGGCTTGGCCGCAGGGCGCCACGTCTGACTTCTTGGCTTGATTTCATTAGATGTAAAAGTCTCATGGCCTCTCCTGCTGGGTGACTTTGAACCCAGGTCCTCAGGTCTCAGTTCCCTGAGTAACACAGAAGCTCAGGACGGTGCCATCCTAAGAGTCATCGTCCATCTGTGAAAATGGAAACAGAGACCATGAGAGTTGTGGTGGGGGGGACATGGGGGGAAGGATGAGGGGTGAGATGATCCACATGCATGGCGTCAGAGCCTGACAGGCTGAAGGGAAACCCCCTGCACAGCCAAGGATCTTATTTTCCTTAGGAGATGCTGACTGTCAGCGCCATACTGTCAGGAAGCACAGATTGTGTGTGTGTGTGTGTGTCTATTCCAAATATGTGAGCTCTTAAGTACTTTCCTGCTTTTACTCTTCAGGTTGAAGAACAAGCCCAGTGCCTTAAACGGAATGTATTGTGCATTTATGACATTAGACATGTACATTGTTTATGATGATTGTTTGCGACTCAGATATGCAATTTGTGAGAAAATGGCTGGTCCAGTGCGGGTAGAAAGTGTGCTAGGTTAAAGTTCACAATGAAACCCTGTACTTGGTAATAAAGTCCTTGGCTTGAGATGCTGTCCTGCACTGGGAAGGATCTAGATGTCAGCATGTGTCTCCTGGATCACACAAATGGAATAAAAAAACGATGACCAGATTCCTGCCTCTCTGCACATTTGGATCTTCTGGTATTTATCTTGCTCCTCATCTGCTGAGGGTAGGAAGCTAACTCCTTGCAGGCACCAGCGGCTCATTCCTGTAATCCCAGCGACTCAGGAGGCTGAGATGTGAGGGTGAAGTTCCAGGTCAGTCCCCGTAGGACAGGTGGTGAGGATCTGATGTCCAGTGAACCAGCAAACAGCTGGACATGGAGCTGTGGCTCACGTGATAGAGTGCCAGCCTTGAGTATAGAAAGCTCAGGAACAGGAGCGAGGCCCTGAGTTCAAGCCCCAGGACCAGCACATACAAAAGCACGTCAGTCATGGCTGAACCTCGAACAGCAGTGCATCTTCTGTTCAGCCTCAGGACAGTGTTTCTTCTGAAATCTAGAATTGGATTCCG